TTTCAGAATCCAGAAAGAGAACTGGCATTACCACCTCGCTGGACTTCCTTGGTGACTGTTAACATGAGAGCCAGCTGCAGTGTTCTCTTTTCTACCCACACGATTACTATTTCAGAACAGAAAAGTGCTACATCAGGTCTTCTGGACAACTAAATTAGGAATGGGACTTGGACAGTTCATCCAAATGGCCAATTTAAACCAGAAATTTCCCGATTAGTTTTCTGAAAAGCAATTTCATTAACATTTAACAAAATTCACCTGTTTAAAACAGAATAAACTAATTAGTGCCCTGCTAGAATGACAAAGGAGAACTTGCATTTTCACAAGTTAAAATAAACTTTCATCTGACATGGCTTACAGATCAACTTCCAGAGGCCAAACAATATAGGCTGAATATTTTTAGAAAGGTGAGTAGAGAATAGCAAAAATTTTCAACTGGACTTCTTGCTGTCTAGTACAATCATCATATTTTATAGATAAAGATGTAGGAACCCAAAGAACTGAACAGTCTGGCTCAGACCCTCGGTAATTAATAACAGGACCAATGTGAAGTTGGAAGCTTTCTGCTTCCTAGTTTGGTGACTTTTCACTATGAAATACTTAAAACGGTAGCAGCACATTCCTATAAGAGCCTACAACTTGCTCGATTCAATGCCTACAACTTGTTAGAGTCAACATTAGATTCAAAGTATTTTCACGAATTATTTCTCTTCAGCCCCACAGCTGCCTTCTGAGAGAGCTAAATATCCGTGAGTGACAAAGTCGGAATTGGAACCAGGTTTGTCACATTACTACAGAGGCTGATCCCAGGTAGGCCCAGCATGGAAACATTTAACAGTTACAAATCCAACCGAGGGAAAGATTTTCGGGGTCTGGAGGGGGACAAAGGAGACTGAGTGCTAAACGTGCAAATCCTCATCTTTCCCTTGGCCCAGGGAGAAAGGTTTAGAGACCAGACACAGGAGTCCCGCCATCCTTGGTTTGAATTTTAGCAATTTTTTGGTTTGTGGGCTGCACCTGGCAGTACTCAGGGCTTACTCCTGCTCTGCACTTGGGGATCACACCTGGCGGGGCCCAGGGAACCAGATGGGGCACCAGAGATTGAACACAAGACAGCCACATTCAAGGCAAGTGCCCTGCCCACTGTACCATCTCTCCAGCCCCCGGACTTTGCAGTGTTTAATACGAGGTCTGTGATGTGGGCAAGCTGCTTCTCCAAAATTGAGCTTTTTTCCATCTGAAACGGGGGACTTCAATCTCACCCGTGGATTTGTTAGAAGGATGAATGAAGATATTATATTGAAAGCAGTCAGTATAGTGCTTGGCAAGTGTCATATGTGAATAGGCTAGGGACCACCGCCTGGCAGTTCTCCACGGCCACTCCTGACACTGTGATGAGGGGTCGCTCCTGGAGGTTCTGACAAGACAGGGATCGAACCAGGCCTTTCATCCTGTGAAGCATGCGCTCAGTCCTTCGTGCTTTTTCTGGTCTGTTACATTTTAAGCTTATTATTATTTATTTTTGAGGGGGCAACACACCCAACATTGCTGTGGGCTTATTCCTGATTCTGTGCTAAGGGCCACTACTGGCGGGGCTTGGGGGGATCGAACCTAGGTGAGTCTGTGAACGGCAAAGCTGTCCCACACCAAGATATTACATTTTAGTTTTTATTTTGAATAGGGTACAGCCAGTGGTGCTCAGGGCTTACTGTGGGCTCTGTGCTCAGAGACGACTCCTGGCTGTGCTCGGGGACCCAACGGGGTGCCAGAGATCAAACTCACGTGGGTTGTGTGCAAGGCAGTCACCCTACCAGTTGTATTACCTTTCCAACTCCCTACTGTATTTTAACTACTTGCTTTCTCACAAAATTCCCTGGGCTGGAGCGATAGCACAGCGGTAAGGCGTTTGCCTTGCACACGACCGACTGGGCGGACCCGGTTTGATTCCTCCGCCCCTCTAGGAGAGCCTCGCAAACTACCGAGAGTATCTTGCCCACACGGCAAAACCTGACAAGCTACCTGTGACGTATTCAATATGCCAAACACAGTAACAATAAGTCTCACGATGGAGACGTTATTGGGCCCACTCGAGCAAATCAATAAACAATGGGAGGACTGTGACCATGACAAAATTCCCTAAATCAATGAAGTCATTTCTAAACACATGGCAATTTATACTGATGCCTCCTTTAGAATTTAGACTGTGAGACTGTCCAAGTAGATGTGTTCACTGTAAGGAAAGGCTTTCATAAGGCTTTTACTCGGAGGATGATTCTAGAGGATGCTTCTTCTTTCAGATAGTCACATCCCCAAGTCAGGTCCAGAATCTTGGCTCTAGATTTCCTTTACTGAAACTAGGCTGCACAAGGGCGCCCATATACAAGGATTTCTCCATTATTTTTTATTTTATTTTACTATTTTTTTCCTGATATCTCCTACTCCTCCTCTTTTTTTTTTTTATTGGATCACCATGAGAACAGTTACAAAGCTTTCAGGTTTAAGTCTAGTCATACAATGATCAAACACTCATCCCTTCAACCAGTGCAGATTTTTCACCACCAAGACCCCCCGTAGACCCCCCATCCCACCCCTCCCCCTGCCTGTGTGTCAGATGATTTCCACTTTACTCTCTCTCTATTTTGATTACATTCAATTTTTTGACAGAAGACACACCATTATTATTTGGAATTTCCCCCCAACAATTAGACCTGCCGAAAAGGCATCATTAGATAATTTGTTTTCTATTGCTGATAATATTGATGTGATGTTGTGTGGTCATGACAATAGCCACACAATTTTGGATTTCTGACATTTTAGTAATTAAGTCCAGAGGGATTTCTGCCAGAAGTCACTGGGTTCCAAGACTGGTTTGTGTGCCTCTGGGATCATTCAGGAGCCGGAGGAGCCGTTCATGGGCTTTATTATTATTTTTTAAAGAGTACTTTAGCATTTCAACTAGGGACTAGCTGAATTCCATTTAAGTTCAAAGACACATCACTGTGGAAAGTCTGGACCCTGTGAGCTCGCTAACCTGCACCAACAGCCTCAGAGAGGTGGGGAGCTACCTTTCTACAAGGGAGGGGGCTTGAATCCCCGTGGATGTCTCCATCCTGCACCTCACTCTGGCCAATGCCAAGAAGCTCCCCAAGCGGGCCTCAGGTTCAGAGGTGGGCAGCCTCCCTGAGTCAGCAGCTTCCTCAGCATCCCTCCCACCCCTCAGCTCCTGACGAGCTGCTGCAGGGTGGGGCCTCGGGAAAGGGGGCAGCTGAGGGTCGGGAGCGGGGGCTGAGAGTGCTGAATGCTGGCCCCTGGAGAGGAGCCCGTTGCAGCACTCACCAGTACCCGTGGCACAAATGTCTGCATATGACCGAATGAGGCTAACAGTGGTCTAACGCTGGGCTTCCATGTTACTAAGCCGGCATGGTCACTCTCTCAAGCAGTGTGGGCAGCCCCGAACACCCCAGCTGGGCTAGCAGGCTATGCTCTCCTTCCCTGTCCCTTCCTCTTTCCTTTTCTCTTCTCAGTCACACCCTGCGGTGCTCAGGGGTTACTCCTGGCTCTGTGCTCAGGAATCACTCCCGACGGTACATGGGGCATTCAATGGATTGCTGAGGATTGAGACGTGATGGCCGCGTGCAAGGCGAGCGTCCTCCCTGCTGTAGTGTCGCTCTAGCCCCAGCTATGCTACCTCTCCTTAGCAAGCAGGGTATGTGCACTCCACCTCAGTGAGAGTTAAAGACTCCTTTGCCCTTGCACTTTCTTGGGCTTGACCCCAACCGCCACTCCTGCCATCCACTGTCCAGGAGTCTGTTGTATGAGATGACCCTTGTCAGTGATAGGAATGAACCAGCCCCTAAGGGCTGAAGCAATAGGACAATAGGGAGGGCGCTTCCCTTGCTTGTGGCAAACCCAGGTTTCACCCCTGGCTCTCCTTCTGGTTCCCAGAGCCCCCAAGGAGTGATCCCCCGTGCGGAGCCAAGAGTAAGCCCTGAGTACCACAAGGGGTGGCCCCCAAACAAAATCAGAAACAAACCAAAAAGGAACAACTCAGCCCTCCTTCCACATTGGACAGTTCTCCAAGTGCGTCACTGCCGGCTTCTGTCTGCTGGCTGGTGCCACCTCACAGTGCTCAGAAGCCTGAAGCCTGCCTGAGCTTGCAAGGCCTCTTCGGCGTTCTGAGATGATCCAGCTCACCTCTGTATTTTGGCAGCCAACTCTCCTGCTCTACACGGTCTCAGGGCACAGGCTGCTGTGTCTGGCCTGCTGCCACTGGTCCTGTGGCTTACCAACCAGTATGTCTTACTCCCGAGCCTGAGACCGTTTTTCTGATCTACACGGGAACACTGTTCGCTGAAGAAGTTCCATCAAAGCTTTCTTGTTCTTTGTTTCTGTTCTCACAGCGGGCAGTGCTCAGAGCTGACCCCTGATCAGGACAGGCAGACGCTCCCTGACTGTAGGAGGATGGAGGTGACAGCAAGACCTAGTTAGCTGGCCAACACCACTGACTGCTGGCACTTGCATGAAAGAATCTGACACCCGCTCAGTAATATTCACTATGCTGTTGTTTTAGATGAAGTCTATCGAAACCATGACATTTGTCTTCTAAGGTTTTTCTTTGCATTAGCGTGGAAATCATACCTGCAGTCTGATATGAATATTTCATATTATGTTTCATATTAATATAAGAATGGTTTGCTTCCTCATCACTGGAGATTTTTAAGCATGTCTATAGTCCAGAAAGTTCTGCCACAACCAATTCCTGAACCAAAGTGAACACTCCAGGCCACAGTCAGAATACTAAGACTATCTCTGGTCTGGACCCGTAGCCAACATTTTCTATGTTGTGTTTTGATTGTGGGGTGCACAATTTGTGGGACGCCAGCTTCTGTGGACAACAGCTAGTCTGGCCTGCCGACTGTCTCGGCCAGGCAATCCTGAAAACTCTGGAATATCAAACAGACACCGAGCGGTCAACTTCCAGCCAGCTGGAAGGCCCTTACCTGTGCAGACGTAATCCGGGGTGACCCCTTTCAGCACGGCGTCGAAAAGGGAGACTTCCACCCTCTGCTTCCGGTGGTGACAACTCAGCAGCAGAGAAGGCTGGGACAGGATGAGGTAGAGGAAGGGCTTCAGCTGCAGGCCCCCTGCTCCCCTGCGGCCGGGCTGCCGCACAACCGTGATGCCCAGGGCCTGACGGGCGGAGGAGCGACTGGAGGCATGGAGGCTCTCCAGGGAGATGACCCCAAGTCTCTTCCCCGTGGGGAACGAGAAGCTGCTGCTCACCAGGTCCTCAGCTGTGACCATGGAAATAGAGGCCGGGCCAGGCTTGGCAGCCGGCGACTCTGCCTCCGGGAGATTCAGGGAGCTCTTGTCCGATTTCCCGTTCCCCGACATCGGTGGCTGCAGCTTGGATGCGGGCAGGGGCGTGCAGGCATAGGTCATTAGGGAGATCCTGCTGGCCGTGATGAATATGTCGAAGGGGATGAAGTTCAGGTTTTTCACGATGGAGGACTGACGTGAGGGGCGTGCGAGGCGGTGCTGGCTGGTGCCGCTGTCCTGCTCGATCTGCACGATCCGGATCTTCACGCTGTCACTGCCAAAGCCGCTGTCCCGCGCGCCGCTGTACCGGGAGGACGTCTCGGCCACGCTGCCCTCCACGGTGTCAGCCCTGCTCTGCTCCTGCTTAGAGACCTGCCAGGACAAAAGAGCATGCGTTATCCATGGCTCGTGTCCCAAGGGTGATGCTCTAATCACACTAAGTGAGTCTGCAAGGGGTGGAGAATACGTGTAACAGAATTGTCGCAAAACAAAGTAGGGGCCATGCAGAAACATTCATGGTAAGCTCACAAAGCCTATCTGAGAGAAAGGAATTAGATGGCATTTCTCTCACTAAAATACATAGCTGAGAGTCAGTTTTTTTTTCTTTTTGTACCAACACACAGTAGTACATCTAAAACTATGTCTCTCAAAATAACATTGGTAGGGGCTGAAGTGATAGCACAGTGGGTAGCGTTTGCCTTGCACGTGGCCAACCCAGGTTGGATTCCCAGCATCCCATATTGTCCCCTGAGCTACCACCAGGAGTAATTCCTGAGTGCAGAGCCAGGAGTAACCCCTGTGCATCACCAGGTGTGACCCAAAAAGCCAAAAAAAAAAAAACAAACATTGGTATTCTATAATTTTCCAAGTACTACTTTTTAAATCCTGTTTACTGGGCTGCACACTAGTGCAGGGCTTAAAGCACTTGCCTGGCATGTGGCCAATGCTGGTACAATTTTCCACGTCATATGTGGTCCCCTAAGCACCACTGGGAACAACCTAGAGCACAGAGCCAGGAGCAGCTCCTGAGTACCAGGGTGTGGCCCAAACATCCACGCCCCTGCTCCCATCCCTGGTCCAACCCAACCTGTCATTAGGTTGTGAAATGCTATTTGAGACCTAGGTACTTCCCTTCTTTTCCAATGAAGAAATGAAACCACACAAGAAACCATCAAAAATCTGAGAACCCCAAACCCTCCAACCTCCATCTGATCATCTAGCAACATTCAATCAGACGATTTTCCCCCCTAACTGTGCCCAGGTGTCCCTCTAACTCCCATCCCCACTATACAGGTGCCCAGGTGTCCCCCCAACTCCTGTCCCCACTGTACAGGGTCAGACTCCTGCTTGAGAGACACACGTGGCCCCTGAATTGACTACACTAATGTCCCCTTCACCAGTCCCACTCAAAAAGTGTCATAATACTGCACTTTATTCAACTACTTACAGGTAATTGAATATTGAAATTTCAGCTTTTGTCAACAAACATGGCTGACAAATATCTGGTACTAATTTTCTTGGGCTCCTAGATTTCTTGGGCGCCCTGACTTGGATCCGGAGCAGCCCAGGCTTCACACAGAGTACTGCTGCTTAGGGGACCTCTTATGACAAATTCATTTTGTTAAAAAAGAAAGATAAAAAGAAAAACAAAGAAAGAAAAATCATACTGAGTAGGATTTTTCTTTGCCAAATATAGAATTTAACGTACATTTTCTTTACAAAGTGTTAGAATCCATGGAAGGGACTATTGCTAGCCCCATTTTACAGCTCACAAAACTGAGACCTAACGAGAGAAATCACTAGGTCTAAGATCACAGGGCTGAGCCATCAAGGTTCAGAAAGGAAACACATTTTTAGGTGGCATTCTTATCTCTGCCTAGGCTTATGCAGAGGCTTATTCATACAAATGAATGGACATCTCTAATTCAAATTTGTACTAAGAAACTGGTACAATAAAATTGGGACAATTTCTCTTTTAACTATATAACTGTAGACCTTTTAGTTATCTCCATCACAAAAGTATCAGTCATACTTCTGAATCCATTACCAATTAGAATTTCCCAAATAACATCCATGGTAAAAATCACAGCAGGCATCAAACAGTCCGGGATTTACTTGCCTATATTTTAGAGAGTACAAAGTATCTACATGTAGCAGACCTAAAAAAATTTTCTTTTATGTTATAGTCCATGATCAATCATGTTCCACAAAGGATTCAGCACCATCGACCATATCCACACGATAACCAAGCTCATTGAGGTTTCTCGGGAGTTCAAGATGCCGCTCTGTCTAACGTTCATTGATTTAAAGAAGGCCTTTGATTCTGTTGAGACGGAAGCGGTCATTGAAGCCCTAGCCAATCAGGGCATTCAAGCCCAATACATCAGGATCCTCCGTGAGCTGTATTGCGGATTCACTACCAGGATCTCACCATTCTACAAAGAAGTGATCGTTGATGTCAAGAGAGGGGTGCGGCAGGGTGATACCATTTCACCGAAACTCTTCAGTGCCACCCTCGAGAACATCATGCGACGACTGGAATGGGAAGGAATGGGAGTGAAGATAGATGGTCGGCAACTACACCACCTCCGCTTTGCTGATGACATTGTTTTAATAACACCAAACATCAGTCAAGCGGCACAAATGCTGGCCGACTTTGACCGTGAGTGTGGAAAGGTAGGACTACAGCTGAATCTTACGAAGACAATGTTTATGAGAAACAGCCTCGTTCCTGATGCCCCATTCGCTCTCAATGGAACGACCATCTCCGAATGCAACAGCTATGTGTACCTAGGTCGAGAGGTCAACATGACAAATGACCTGGCACCCGAGCTGCGCAGGAGGAAGAGAGCGGCTTGGAACGCCTTCAAGAACGTCGAAGAAATAGCTAAGAGGACGAAGAACCTCCGGCTCCAGGCACATCTCTTTGATTCCACTGTTCTTCCTGCATTAACATACGCCTCAGAGACCTGGGCCCTACGCAAACAGGATGAGAATGCTATTCAGGTCTCCCAAAGAAGAATAGAAAGAGCTATGCTTGGAATATCACTCAAATGAGAGAACGAATCCGGAGTTCTGACATCCGTCGACGATCAAGGATCAGGGACGCTGCCTCATTTGCCAAGGTGTAGAAAATTAGATGGGCTGGTCACGTAATGAGATTTAAAGACGACCGTTGGACTAGAGCTGTTACTGATTGGATTCCACGGGATGTCAAAAGACCGCGTGGCCGCCCACCTACCAGATGGTCAGACTTCTTCGTCAAGATCATGAACGATCGGTTTGAGGCCCTTCATGTTCCCGGAGCAAACAGATGCCATTGGGCTACACTAGCACGCGACAGGGACAAATGGAGACGTTACTGGCGCCCGCTCGAGCAAATCGACGACTAACGGGAAGTTAAGTGATTAAGTGATAGTCCATGATAAACTCAAACCAAGAATTCAGTATTTTTGTTCCCTCAATCAAGGCAGACAACTGCAGACACTCACATGAGATTATGAATATACTTTGGCTTTTTGGGTTGGGGCCACATCTGGCTGTGTTGAGGGTTTACTCCGGGCTCTGTGCTCAGGGATCATGACTGGCAGGGCTCAGGTGTTGGGAATCAATCCTGGCACCAGATACCTGAGAACACCCTTTCTGCAAACAGAGCGCCCAATTTTCCTTCTCCCGATGTCCAGATGTGTACTTCTAGTCTATTCTCCCTAAAGTGGGGTCACAGCACTTTAGACACTGCCCTCGGTCAGATGAGACCTGCAGGGGAAGGTGGCAGCGAGCAGCCTGGTCGTGTGGGTTACCCGACCTCCCTCTAGTCCCTCCCGTGGGGATGGAATTGGAGCCAGTGACCCCGAAAGACTGCTTCCTACAGAAAAGGAGAAAGAAAAGAAAAAAGCACAACTTTCCCTACACGAGAACTCGAACTTCTAAGTGCCAAGATTTCCCCGTTTGTCTAAGTTTCCGCACTCTTAGTATAGGGCTGAGACAAATACGCTGGTGATTTCCGAGACATATTTAAAACTCCATGGGATTGTCACCAGGCCATGCACACTTATCCGTTACATTGAAGAGTATCTGCCCTGCTCTGAAGAACAATTTTATAATTAATTATGTGTGCTAAGTCCTGAACTCGGGCATCAATTTACCATTCCTTTGTGAAAAAAGCAAAGTGCACGGCGTGATCACTTTGAAAATAACTTTTGCTTTATGATCGTCCACGGGGACTAATAACTTAAGTTGTCAGGAGCTGCAATTTCAGCCTGCTGAGAGCGAACGCCCAAGAAACACGCGTCTCTGGGCCGTGCTCTTGCCTCGGTTCTCCCACTCTTTACCTAACTCACTTAAATGGAACAATAAAAGTTTTCTTTAATTAGCTACTGGTGTGCATTAACATGATCATGATTAAACCATAAAAACCAACTGTACATTACTCTGGTCCCCTCTTCCATATGTTTTGGATTACTCTGTTTGAAAATGTACTTTGCGTCCCTTTTAAAAGTTCAACCTTCTGCTTTCAGAGAATTAAATGCATATTACTGTAGTGAAGAAGATAATGTTTCAGACCTCCAGGCATATATTAAACACACTGGCAGCACTTGAGACAAAATGCTTTACTTATTAGATACTTCCTATTCTAAACAGTGTCATCAAAGGCTAAAAACAAAATCCATATAAAGGCTGCACAATGCTTCCACACAGGACCGGTGCCAAAATCCCTGTACTTTCCAACTAATGAGGAAAGGATGTGTACTCTTAACATATGAATGTAAGATTTTCCAAGCATTCACTTTAGGAAACTGGGCTATTGATTCCATATGGGTTATGTTAAATGAAACTGTATTGGTAAAATAACCTTTAAGATATCTGGCATGATAACTATAATTAAACAATATTCAAAAGACTAAAACAAAAGGGAATTTGGTTCCACAATGGCTAATTAGAATAAAATGAAAAAAAACACAGCATGCCATCTATCAAGATAAATTGTTATTGTTTAAGAACTATTTAAATACTGTTAAAATATACTTTTAGATAAAATCTGAAAGAGTTGGAAAAATATTTGTGGCTTAAAAATGAATAGTTTGGTGAAAAAAAAAAGTCTAGGACTCTGAAATTTTATGCGGAGATAACAGCTTTAAAGCCTTGAGCACAACCAGATGGTACTTAAACCGGGGGAATTCTACAGTTACACTATCAATGGGTTCCAACAGGCCCAGGTTTTCAATAGTTCAGAAAACATGGCAAGTTGAGAGCTGACTTCTTCGATGATTTCCGCACACTTCCCCATTCTTTCACAGCTAGATGGCACAGATAGGAGGTGGCAGGAAGCAGGGGCTAAGGCTGCCCTCAGAATGAAGGAGGACAGCCTGCTC